TCCATTATCCTTGAATAAAAACACCATCCCCGAACAATAATCCTGCGTAGGAAAAGGAAGTTTTGGAGAGGACCGCTCGGGTAGTGAAAGCAGCGAAGGCAGCTGCAGAGAAGCCCCTTCCGAATTTATAAGTGAGAGGGACTACTTCCGGGATAGCGAGGAGACTTAGGGGAGAAGAAGGGTACTTACGTGTGGTGAAGAGGGCAAGAAATCAGTGAGATGACAAGGAGGAGTAGCAAGAGAAGGGAATCGATCTTCTGCCTCTGATCATTTACATCGCTAAATAAAATCTATTTGTCCCTGGCTCTGTCTACTGGATCCGTCTAGGCACCTCTTCACACGACGTTCGCATGTCCTGCTGAATCCCAATTAGACGGAGTATATCAGCGTCGGCTTGCTTGATTCCCTTGCAACAATTTCAGAAATTATACTACGTTGCGGATTTCTCCTTCGCATTCTAGGACTTCCGCCTGGTCCTCTCAAATCTTTCTACCAGGACTAATGGCATATGGTGGGGGGGCGGTAAGGGGGGGGGGGGTTCTGGGTTATTCTTAATTGAAAACCTCAATTAACCCCTCCGACTAAGCATACTGAAATATCACCAAGTATTTGAAATGCAAGAATTGCATTTTCTACAATATCTACCGTGATTGAAGATCGCCACGGTAATCCCACACCTTCACCGCCATCACCCCGCCACCATCTCCGGAAATTGCGGGATATCGATATCTGCGCCATACTCAGGAGAAAAATAAGAGTCCCCGATTTATTTATCGCGGCCGTGATTACACCCTGTATTTGACCATTGGCCATTACAGAATTAATTCTCAAGGCAGCTTCGGTGACCTACTTGGAAGGCATTGTTCCATAATATGAGTCGCAATGGCGCGGCAGTTGAGTTGCGTTTGAAGGAATATTGGAGGAGGAATCATGAATGCTGCATTCATGTTGGATGATATATTAATGCCTGATGATCGAACTCCTCGCCCACTTCACTTGGGCTCCAAACGTATATCGCCGAAAATTCATGACTGTGGTTGCCCTCGACATGGGTCCACAAAACGTCTTCAAGCAATCCTTCTCAGCAGGATACCAAACCTGAGGCTACAACGAGCAGGCTACGAGCCTTAAGGAAGGTCAAAAAACTCACGGTAGCAACACGGCGGAGATATGCTACATGGAGCAATATAAGACAAGGGGGGTCGGCGCAGATCAATATGCATCATTTGACATGGTATCATTGCCGTGATCTCTTTATGATGCGAAAAATGCATGTGGATATAAGTTGAGCAAAATAAAGTTAAGTAGAATTTAGTGCTTCAAGGATGACTGTCTCGGCAGATAATGAAGATATATTTGACACCGCGGAACTTCCGGACCGGAGGAGAAAAATTACTGAAAGGCGAGTCCGAGGGATGAATTAGAGGGTCCTCTGGCATCGACATGAATTTGGAACTAGTCGGCGATGGGGATCAAGATTATACTCCGTTTCCTTCCTTATTAATAAACATGGAGGATCCATGTGTATGTAAAGCAATTGCAAGCAGATTTAAATCAAAAGGATATATAAATAGAAAATTTGTGTAGTGGAATGAGAGAGTGCAAAGGATGACTCTGCTATTTACCTGCGTGCATTCTTGATACATTCCTTGAATATAATATGGCCATCTGGAGGTACGGCAGTCTTTCCAAGACGCTCAATTATCCAAAATTGGTTTAATGTTGAGTCAAATTTTTGAAGTAATTTCATTTAACATCATTATGACTTCGTGGACGAGAACACTATGCTGACTTCACTATATGTCGAGGTCATCAATTCTTTAAGAGCCAACGGCATCCTTCACGAATTCCACTTCCGGGACTACTGATATACGGACGTATATAGACCACATTTAAGTGATAAGATTAGCTATAAGAAAGCACATCGAGGCTCTTTAGGTTGAATATCATCAACATGAACATGAGTAATTAAATCGACCGAATATAAACTCAAGCACGGAAAAAAAAAAATTCCCGTTCTTTTGCAATTATAGATGCTATATCTACACATATTCGCATTACCTCTCGTGAACATGTTCCGAGCGTTTCGTCGCTATGGGGAATTGTTCGATTGACCGTTCCACTTATTTTGTACAAATTATATTGAATCGACCAGTCCATTGAGTGTCCATTGAATGGACTGACTAGAAGTATTGTAGTGTATTGTATTATGTTAATGTAGGTGGCTTTTTTTATTTTTTAAGTTAGTATGACTCCAGTGATGTGAACCAGCCTCTATGGTTTTTACTTAAATTCACGCCACTTATCTCAGTGATTGAGAACATCATAGATGATGTTAAAAACAGAAGGGAAAGTGTGACCTTTAATGTAAAAACCATTGTATTGAGCAGAGCTTAAGCAACGTTTTTAGAACTTATTAGTCCCAGTTATAAGATATTCATTTTCGTATTGGTGACTCTATTTTCTCCAACTGCAAGATGAATTCCAGCAATACTTCAACAATCCAATGCACGAGATCGATTTTGATTTACAACTGAAAAGTAGTTAAAATTAAGGAGCGAAGCGAGTCTATGAGGAGCAAATAGACACTACCATATGCATGTGTGGATCAATGATTAATTTAATGAGCCCATGATCTTGGTTGTAGATCTGGAATATATGGTTTCAATTTTTTCCGAAATCAAAGCTTCCAAATTCCATCTACCTATATTTAAAAATATTCCCACATTTCTAAATTAGGATCTCCTATCTCTTCCATTTTCGCAAGCGATACTTCTTATAATTTAGGTACCTAGCCTGTTACCCAATTTTACATTTCGCGGAGCCATCCGCCTATCCGCCGTCACCCCCCCCCCTGCGCCCCCGGGTCCTGCCGGAAACGCGCTAGCGATTCCGCGACACGCGACGCGATTTCGGCAGCCAACCACAACAACAACAAACTGCCGGCGGCCGCGCCCACCCTTACTCACCACCACAACTCAGCGACATCACCACCGCCCCAGCTAGTCGCATGCGCCCCAGCCGCGCACATCATCATCACAACACCCAGACCTACTCAACATCAACCAGCGCATACACTTCTAGAACCGGGGATCATGACCATGGCCAGGCTTTAGGCGGTGCATGGTGGTCAGGAGTTTGGGGCGGGGTGGAGAGGAGAACGGTCGAGGATGCAGTGGTTGTGTAGAGCAGAATAATCGAGAGATTAAAAGTACCCTATCTGACTTCTCCCGCAGCTTTCTTTACGTGCCTGCAGCCGCCGTACGCACGTTCTGTCGGCTACTTTGGCGATCGATATCACTACCTCTTCTCCGAAATCATCAAATATATGACCAGGCAACACGCGACCCAATTCACCGACATCGGCATTCAATATACGCTCTCGGCTCTCTCACCTAGGATTGGCGCCGCCGCCGCACATGACTCCATCACCGTGCGAAGGAGCTTGGGCACCGCCGCCACACATGACTCCATCACCGTGCGACGGAGCTTGTTGGCCTTCGGCACAATCGCCGCGGAGGGGAGAGCACACATCATGACCCCCTTTTACCGTCTGATTATGCCTCGATCATCCCATGAGGCAGTATCAAATCAATGTGCCTCGGAGGTCCCGCCACTACTAGACAGGCAATGCGCAGGAAATTATGAGGGCTGGGGAAGGACCTCGGAGTTGGGTAGGTATCTCGGCATGACCTTCCGCCCATCATGTCTTGATGTCATTGGACACTTGCATCAATAATGAGAGCAGCTGATAGATAAACTGGGAATCCCTTTAGCTATTCTTTTTAGCACATCCGCCTTCCAGACGTCCATACGACGTGGACAAAGCAACAGGCGACTGCTACTGCCAGGATTGCGAACCATGAGCGGCATACGAGAGCAAGCGCAATCCGACACATGGAAGTAGGAGTAATAGAGCCAACGGCGATACCCCCCCCCCCCCCCCCAAACGTGGAGCCAAAGATCGGAAATCATGAGCGACTGATACGGAGATGGGATGTGGTTTCAGTGTTAAGTATGCTGCGCCTGGGGATATCAATGAGTATGCTGCTGATTGAAGAGACACACTTCCTTTAAAAGCAAGCCCAGTACTCACTCAGTCAACACAATAAACCGAGAACACATCTTGACATATTAGCTCGACTACCTCTTTATTATTCCGCATGATGATCACTGGGGCCCACCAATACCGAAGTACCCACCCAGCTATCCCATCCAGCGTCCTTGACAGAATACATACCATCTCCACAGGAGGCAGGTATAAATACAACCTCCGCAATCTGGGCTAACCTCCGCAACATCTGTAACCTCCGCAGATAATTTTAAATAAATCGTCGATACTCATTCACAACATCACCATCCACAATCTCCACTGCACTGTCGCTCTGTCGGTACGTATGGTATCTCTATCCCTATTCCTGCATACAACTCCAGCTGTCTCATCGCGCATCATCGATAATATGACTTGCGCTCGATACGTTGATGATCATGATAGGGCCGTCCGCGATACGACTAGGGGTATTCGCACTGCGACTTTCCAACCCTCTGCATATCCTTCAGCGTGGCTTTGCTTTGCGGAATAGTAGTAGTTGATTTCCAGGAATGATGTATGGCAATGCCGGAGATGTGGCAGGAGGTTAAGAGAAAATACGCTCATTGAGGCTTAATTGCGAGGTAGATAGAAAGAACCTTTAGTCGCCGGGAAATACCCCCATCCGATCCATTGTGAGCGAAATGAATTCGCATCCTATTCAATTGACATGCATTGAATCGACAGCAAAAGGCCCCCTAACGTGGTAGAGACGGAGTAGGGTCTGGACACGAGTCTAGTTAGTGTCTATACTAGTTCCACTACAGACTCAACATCAAGCACACCCTTCTAAATCCACACCAAGTACCTAATACCAACTCCACTACCCATTTCCACACCAAAAGAAAACAAAATTAATGTAAAATCGTGAGGGATCCGAACCGATAGATAGACGGAGAGCAAAAATGATTGATTAAACCAAGGATCGAACTTGGGACCTTCTGTGGACCTCACGCTGATTAGATACATGTAAGACAGATGTGATAACCACTACACCATTCAACCGTTTTGCAGGAAGTAAGATCATGGCGCGAATGGCTGGATATCCGGTGGTTGTGTACCAAGGACCGCATGGGCGGGTCGGATCCGGGACAGAGGAATAATTTTGGGTGGCTGGATTCACGATATGAAGTGGAGGATGAGATCGTGTTTGATTAAGAGTGTAGGAATGAGGTCTATAAACCACTAAATAAGTCGGATCTAAATAGATGTGCAGTCATTTGAATCGTCTCACAGTGAGGCATGCGATATGGGAGTCCCATAGGCCCCTCCAACCGTATCGGAATATGTTTGGACTTTGGACTAAGCTCTTTCCCGCGTTGCTTCCTGCACCCAGGCCCCTGACTATACTGAGTCGGAAGTTAACGAAGACAAATCACCCGCCACGTGCGCCTCCCTTCGCCATTGCCGGCAGTCAATGAGAAATGAATTTTTAGATCAGTGTCACCATTGGCTTTCGAAATCCCTCTGCATAGGCAGCTTTAAGGAGAAGAGGTGGAGGGGTTAGGTATATCTCCCTACGCTGTGTGTCTGTGTGTGCATGGTATTCCCAACTTATGCGCCTGAGTAAGGGGAGACAGACGGCGGAATGGCTGAGGAATATGATTGGAGCCCTGGATCTTGTAGTATCTGATGGTATGGGGGGCCTGACGGAAATTTAGCAGCTCTGCCTCAGTCTGGTTCCGTCCTAGCTGCTCGCCCAAAAGTGTCTCAAACAGCCTTGGGCTTCCCATCTCCTCTTCCAAGGGTAGTATTTATATCCCGAATTCCAGGATCTGCAAGCTACACCAAGTGATCCCCTGAGTCTAGTGATCGTGTAGCTACCGGGAACGAAGGAAGGATACATACCGAAGGTCCAAAGAACCTTTGTTGCCCTCTTGAAGACCGCGGATGGTAAGGGAATGGTTTCTGGGTGGGGAGGTGGGTGCGATGAGGCAAAAGTGGTGCATGGTTGGAATATTGACACACATGTTGTTGCTTCGAAATGAACCTTTGCTGCGTATGAATGAATTCGACCGTTCAACACCGTGGACCTGGAGATTATCGTGGCACTGCAACTGGTGGCAAACATGTGGGTTAGTTCGGAGACCACTACTGGAGCAAGACTAGAGGACGGAAGACATCCCAAAGTATTTGCAAGATGTCATCGTGTGTCGAATTCAACTCAAAGATGAAAGAGGACGTCTTATTAGCAGTACGGACTGGTGAGCGGACGCTATCTCACACCCGGCAAAGGTGATTCGGCACGATGAGCGATCGGAGAATAGGAAATAACGTATGGGGTCGTATTTGAAGTCAACTAGGATGATGTTGATGATGGTTGTATCGCGACAAGGCTCAATAGTTGAATCTCTAGCATGAAGATCGATAAGTTTCGCGCCATGTTAGGCGCTGTTGTCATTTTTCATTGGAGGAGTGAAGACTTTACCGGGAGCCTACGTACTTAGCGAGCTGTCAAAGTACCTACCTAGGTATGGTCCTTGTCAAATAGTCGGGAAAGCGCTTCTGCTACCGTCCATCAGCGAAAGTTGCAGGGTAGATGCATTAACTGGCGACAACGATACATCTGTGTTCTTAAACTGAATTCATGTTGTACCTGGAAAGAAAAGAGATTGGGACGCAAGAGGCGATGTGCCGGAGAGGGGCGGTTCTTTCAATCCTAGCAGTGAAGTTTAGAGTGAGCGATCCGGTCGAAAAGTCTTGTTTGAGTACTCCGCAGTGTTCTTATTAGGCCTTGATGTGCAAAACATTGGGGGATGTATCGACTTGCAGTTCGTTCTTCGCGGGTAGCTATCGCTCATCCGCTACCCGACCCAATGAAATACCCGAGAAAATGATGCATAGATGAACCTGTGTTGCCTGGTTCTACTCCGTGCTATCTATGTACGCATTAGCATGAACACTCTGCATACTCCGCATACACAATCATCATTTTGGGTTTACGAGATTCCCGTCTGCGGAAAACTGCTTATCCTCTCACTCCCTAACCATGCCATGCACAGCGCACTGCCATCGCTGTCCACGCCATCCCATGTGTCGCAAAAACTATGTCGATTGCCGCTGCTGATAGGATTGATTATGTTTCTGCGTTCATGATATCCAAGTCCTAGCGGCAGAGCGTGCTGAAAGGGGGCGATGTTGTGATGGGCCATCCGTGTCCGTGTTGTTATTGTTTACCTCCCGTGCTACGGTCGGTGCCAAACCATACGCACGGACGCACCGGAGACAAGGCTGCACCGCACGCATACACGCACGCACCAAGAAATAGTGCACGGGGCTGTGTTAGAGCCTGCGCTCGAACCTCTCGACTCGCCGCGCATGTGTAATCTCGCTCTGGCCCCAAACGCACGGATGCTTGGCGTGCGCTTAACGCTTAAGCGCTCAATTACTCGCTCACAAAACCTTCCTGTTTACCAGCTATAAAGAAAGACCCGTCTGTTCACCTTCTTCTCCACAACATCATCCCCAGGCCCAGACAGAAAGAAAAATTTGTCCGACGGCTGCTCATTGTCTGTGATCACATCCTGCCTTGTGCCCTCCTGCTTCTCTCTCCTCCTCGGCTTCTCCTCCAAAGCTAGATTCGTTTCTTCTCAGGTCACAACAAAACAACAAAGGTAACCTCTTTTCCTCAACTTCATGGAAAAGGATTATTAACATGAACCGTCTGCAGAGGAAAACGCTTGCGAAACGGTGTGGAAGTGAAAGGTCTCTTCGAAGGAAAGGGGTATTATCGGTAAGTAGCACAAATCTCCTCTTTAATACTATCACGCAGTCTAGGCCTTCAAGTGTAACCTGTGACTCAATCGCTAATACTGTGAATGCAACTTCTTGCACAAAATTGAAGTGGCGAAAGAACATCCAGCTGTGATTCAGTCGTGCAACCAAGGAAATTACACGGCGATTTTCGAGTGATTCTGCTTGCCGATCACACAAACCAAACGTAAGTATTTAAAGACCTTCCCTCTCCTTCTCGAGTCCTTCTTCTTCCCCAGCACAACAATCAAGAGAGGCCTCACTCACGTCCCCTCCCATTACAACTAGTCCAACTTTTATATATAAAAACCACAAAAACCCTCAAAAACATGCCTGTTGAAGGTTTCAAGGAGGATCCTTTTGGCCTCTTCAGCCGTACTCCTCGTAGGTACGCGCCTCAACGCTACACTCCGGACTTGTCTCCCGGTTTGTACCCGAGCAATGCCTCTGTTACCAACTCGAACCCGTTCGAGTTCAACACTCCGCGCTTTGGTCATTTCGTCAATTTTTCTCCCCCAATGTCCCCATTGACCCGCCCCGCCGGCGACCCCGATGTCTCCTCGATCCTCGTCGACGTCGGCGAGACCGCAAGAACTCCATTCCCATCCCCATTTCTAGATGGCAAAATTGGCGAAGGAAAGGTCGCTGCCGATTCCGACCCCAAGGCCAAGAAGCTAGAGAGCAAAGCGTCCTCTGTCGCAGTTGAATATGAGCGTGCCATCACTCCCCCTGATCCCGTCATTATCCCAACCATCAATCTTCCCGAAGCTTCCGTCAACAGGGAGGACATCCTTCCGTGGGAATATCACTTGGCGCCTCCGCAACTACTTCTCCCGCCATCCAGACCAGAGACGCCTTCGTCCACCAGCAGCGGCCAAATCAACAAGCTTCCAAAAAATGCCACCCGCCAGCAAGCCCAGGCCATGATCGACGAGCTCAACCGAATCATCAACGACCAGGCCCGCCAAAATGAGGGACTCGCCCGCGAGAAAGTCGTTTATCAGATGAGAGTCCGCACTCTCAAAACAAGGCTGCTCCAGTTCCCCCCCGGCATGACCGAGGAGGTGGCCGAGACGAAAAGAAAGTGCGAGATGTATTACCGCCGCGTCATGAAATTGGAGGAGGCATTTATCGTCTGGCAGCGTGACATGACTGTAAAGCACGGGATCATTGACAGCCTCCAACATACAATCAATCAGGCTAAATACAAGATCAATCTGCTCAACGACAAGCTAATCGGGAAGGAGGAAGTCATCCAAAGACATCGCGACGGCAATGCGGAGCTCAGATGTATCATCGATATGGAGCGTGCAGAGCGAAAGCGTGCTGAGGAGTGCCGTTTTATGGTCGAGAGGCGTGCGCAGTGGGCCAGAGCACAAATGCGTCTCTTGCTCCACAAGGTCATGGTGGTTTGTGGCAAAAATGGTGATGTTATCAAGGCTATGAGGTCTGTTGCTGAAGATGGTGGATGGGCCTGGGAGGAATGGGATGAGTTGAGATGGAGAAAAGCCGCTGGCATCGACATGCCATTGATGATGGATGTCGAGTGATTCACCCACAACTCACTCAGCAACCAGTTGTGACAGTGTCCTGATACTGAAGATTACCGGCATGCGGAGTTCGTTAGTTCTTGGGTAAGTTTTAATTTTCTCTATCTTTTTTCACTATCGTGCTGATGATCGCGCGCGACATAGGTGTTCCTTTCTTCGACGCATGGTTTGACTTTTGCTTTTCTTGCTTGTCTCTAACAGTTCCGCACGTCGGCCAAGTCTTATCATGTTCTATTTTTTTCCTTTTCTCTTCGGACATGCTCACACTTCCCATCTGTTTTTTTCTCTCTTTATGTCGGTGGATGCTACTGTCGCTTTGCTTTTCGAATCCCATACTCGGAATCTATATAGTAGTTCTCAAGTTCGGAGACCGTGGTGGATTTGCGAGACTAGGCAGCTATGTGCGTTGGGATAGTTAGTTAGATGGTCGTCTCTATAGGAGCCGCCCATCCGTGTTGTGGTTCTAACAGACCATTCGTTGTAGAGATGGTTCTCGAGATGGTTCTCGAGATGGGAGATGGTTCTGGAGATGGTTCTGGAGATGGGAGATGGTTCTCTAGATGGTTCTCGGCAGCAACTTCACCGAACTCTAACATTCCGCATCATGCAGCGCCAGGATCTCGGTACATTCATACACAATCTCGACATCCGGCGACCAATACCTTATGCATGGGCTACTAAGTAAGTACCCCTCACACCACG